AACATAATCCTTAAATTTAGGTTACTCTGTTGCATAAAAAAAATCAATTTTTGTTGTACTGTGTTATTATACTTACATCTGAAACTCATGTTGACCTGTGATATTAAAAGTGCTATAACTCCTTTGTTTATTATTTTAGTAATATAGTTTGAAGGCAACATTTTCTTGAATTTTTAAGTACTTTCGTTTGGTAAGGAAAAAAATATACTTTAGGGGGGGTAAAATTTTGTTTCTGCCCTTATCATGCGAACGCGACTTCAAAGCTTAAAAAGACATAAGAACGAAAAGTGAAGCTTCTCAAGACAAAAATAATGACATATCAATTTTAAAAATCGGCCATCAAATAACCAAGTTACAACGAAAAAACCATTTCGGCTGTATTTCGGAGGGTTAAAAAAAAAAAAAAAAATTTTTCCAGAACCCTCTCAACATAATCTTTAAATTTAGGGGCGGACATTAGCAACTTTTTTTTTCGACCCAGTCTAATGTCCACTAACAACTTAGTGCAAAATCTTTCTATATAACCTGAAGGAAATAGGTTTTGAATCAAAATGCGAGGAATTCAGTTGCATATTGCATATTGTCCATGATTCCATAGTTCGTCCTTTTTTTCAGGAGCCCTTTGATATTTTTCGGTCCGCCTTTTAAATACTTACTCGGTATCACTCAAAAGTTTTTACTTGAATTGAGCGGTCAGTCTTCTTCCTGACTCTTGGTTGCGCATTTACTAATACATATTTATTAAAAAAAAAAGTTATATTCCTAAACATTTGCTTGTTTAAGCACGGAACTGTAGTTACCTTTCCCCTTACATATGTATGCAGTAATGAACCCTATAAGAATTTACGCCGTGCTCTCAATAAATCTTTGATTACACTTTGACTCTCCTAAAACACTGCTTTGACAACAGAAGCGAATTAAGTGCAAGTGAAATACGCTTGTAAAATTTTTGGTGGTGTAGTATGTGTAAGCATACAGATAAAAATAGTATTTGCGTTAGTATATATATGTATGTACATACATACGTATGTACATATGTATATTTTCAAAGGACGAACACCCGGCTATAGAGAAGAGACCATTGCATAAACACTTTCCATAAGTCATTGGTGCTTGGTAGTCTAAGCATAAGTTCAAAGTTGCCACACCGCATATGCTACATTTAAGTGCAGTGTAACTTACCTAGTGCAAAACACTTTGTATTTCATCCATCCATGCAGAAGAGAGCTCCCGAGGCGATGCAAACACCACTTTGGCATGTATAAAAGTGATCCTCTTCAGCACAACTATCCACATACTTGTCCAATGTTTGCTTAGAGGCTAAGCATAAGATACATAAGGTGCATTCTTTTGCAACCGAGCTACAAAAGAACACTCGCATAAATGACGAAATACATACATGCAAAGCAACGACACAAACTAGACTATTTATTCGGGTTCAGCAAGGTGGGTTAAAATATAGGCGACCGGAAGGGTAGTGTTGGTAAGTGAAAAAACTGCTCTATTGTGAATTGTTAATGGGAAAATGGAGAGGGACATTTTTGTTTTCGTATATAAATGATTTATATTTTAAATAAGTATATACTTACGAAATTACCTCGCATAATTACTCATTTCTAATATTTTTTTTTGTGTCTAAATCCCGTTAAACTAATCACATGTTTGTTGCCAGATACCAACAGGGTTGCTTCAGTAGCTATAAGGAAATTTTACCCCAGTTGAGCGTTCTTTTGCCGCTCGATTAGAAAAAAATGCAGCTATAGATAGGATTCGCAGCTGTTGCTGACTCGTTAAAGCGTTTTACATACTGGCGAAGCAAGGCTAGTGTGTTCGTCCGATACCACCATGTACTCGATACCAGTACTCAGTTTAGAACATCTAAGGGGGTACTCGATGCTACTCAAAGTATCGCTAAAAAAATACTCGATTCTACTTGTACTCAAAAGTATTCGGACGAAATATTTCAAAACAGTTTTTCAATCTTTTTTATACCCGAGCGCACTTGTGCACAAGGGTATATTAATTTTGTTCACATAACGGTTGTTTGTAACAGCCAAAACGAATCGAGATAGATATAGACAAATGTATACATAANTTCGAAATTGAAGGACGCTAATTTACTCAAAATTGATACACCTCGGCTTACCATCTAGCGGAAGGTTTCGGAAGGGTGAAAAAACATATATTTAATACTTGCGCCGGGTATTTAATGTTCGGCTCCGCCCGAACTTAGACTTTCTTACTTGTTAAATAAATAAAACCATTTTTTATGTGTTACAAAGATATAATTTAAAGCAAAAAGGCTTTTTAATATGAAAATTTATGCTTATTTTTAATATATATATACACATAGGTAAATACATATTCTCGCAACTTTTATATGTTAGTTACAAAGATATAATTTAATTTAGAAATGGCTAATTTAATTCAGAAATGGCTTTGTGAATATGAAAATATATGCTTATTTTTAGCATAAATATGTATATACGTATTTTTCCGGCGTAACGCAGGCTATTGTTGTATGAAATACCATAAAGCTTCAGCACATGGGATACGTGTCAAACTTCATATATCCCACCTTGTGGCAACTTTACTAATTTGACTAGAGTTGCATAAATTCTTCGACCGAGTAAATACTTGCACAATGCACTCGATGACCCACTTGGTCACATGTATCGAAGTACTAAAAATACTCGGTACTTGGTAGAGGTACTACTCGAGTATTTACTCGTATCGGAACATCACTAAGCAAGGCAATGTGCAATAGCGGAACTGCTTATACATACATATGTATGTATGTACATCAGTTCATGGGCCAAGTGCCACATGTAAGAGGAAATTTACTAATTGTTTGTATATGGATATGTACGGTGCTTTTTAAAGTCCTTTTCTTCCAGAAAATGAGCGAGTGTACATATGTATAACGCAGTAAATTAGGATTGTTGATATTATATCGGTGTTGGCTATAATTTTCGCTTCCTATAATATCAGATATCGATGTTTTACACACAAATATCGCCTGGTTAGCATTCATATTTGAAACCATTCCTTAATTTTTTAAATATTTTGAACACGATATTATCGATACGACGATTTTTCAATTTCGCCACTTCGATATATCGAAAAGCGATATTTTTGAAAATAACAGTCCTACAATCTGGCACAATTTTTAGGTGTACCCTTAACAAATTTTTTAAATGATAAATGATTCATACAGCGAAATGCCTTACATTTTAATTTGACAGGAAATATTTTTTATTTAAATCACAAAATGTGTATCATATAAAAAAAACCGAAAGAACTATTACACATGGCAACACTGATTTTTGTGCGGCAAATGTAAAAGCTGTTTTTGATAGAATTTTTTGTGCTGATTACGAATCCGTAAGTAAAAAAGGTTCCATCAGATCCAGATTTTGATAAAAGCGAGGTGTTAATAAATCACGTTTTTTGCAATATTTGAGGAGCTCTAGTAAAGAAAGAACCTTCCGCTTAAGCTTAAGTTAAAGCTATAACTCTTGACTACTGTTCTTGAAAATATCATCCCTGCACCCTGATGGTGCACTTATAGTCATTTACTAAACAGCAAAAATTAAAAAATCCGGTTTTTTGCCATAATTAAGAAGCTCTAGAAAATAAAGAGATGGTAATAGAACCTTCCACGTAAGTTTAAATTAACCTTGTCAAGGTGCAGGGATGGTATTTTCAGGGACAGTAGTAGAGGGTTCTAGCTTTAATTTAAGCTTAAGCGAAAGATTCTATCACCTTTTCTTTCACTGCTGGAGCTTCTCAAATATTGCAAAAAAAACGCGATTTTTTGACACTTTGACCTCGTTTTTCTCAAAATCTGGATCTGATGGAACCTTTTTACTTACGGATTCGTAATCAGCCCAAAAAGTCTATCAAAAACAGCTCCAACATTTGCCGCACCAAAATCAGTGTTGCCCTGTGTTACCGAACAAGTGCGAAACAAGTAAAAACACAAAAAATAGCAAAATTCAAAATTAATGATATTTACTTAAAAATATTCGATTTCTAATATAATTTTCCATTTAACTTTAGAAGCATGTCTACAAATGTGAAATTATTTTTTAAAATACAAAAACGACACTGAATACTACACATGCGAAACTAAGGCACTCCGCACATTACGCGTCTAATCATAGTAGAGTAATCGTTTTGTCATGTCAAAACGAATGCATTACGACTCGACTTCTGCACACTTGGGCGCCCTGTGTAAGCCCTGCTGGCGCACACATTACACATTTTCTGGTTTTTGCATAAACGTTTATGGCTTAATACAGTTGGCACGAGTTTTAGCACAAAATCATTAATTTTCAATTATTTCCTACTGAAATGACAAATAATTTTTATTTCGAGCACAAAAAAGTAAACAAATGCCGATATCAAAACGGCAAGCGCCTTACAATGTGGCGCTTCGATTCATGAAGTTTTTATGATTAGGCGAAAACATGATTATGAATCGTAATATACAGAGCTTCATTGAAATACATGTGTTCGGTATATGTAAAAGCTTCATACTTTAGTACGCCGGAACGATTACACTACTACGACTAGCCGTTTAATGTGCGGAGTGCCTAAGGCTTTTCGCCAAAAATTCGCTCAAATTCCCATAGTGGAAATCTGCCCTACATATATAACATTAGACTATGAATTTGCGTGAATTTATGCATTTGCAACATAGGTACCGCCCTTAAAAAAGATGTGATTTGTCTGTTACGAAAGTTATAAATGTATATCACAAATTCAACATCTAATATTTGTCAAAAAAAAATAATAAATAATAAAAATGGCGAAGCTAAACTTATGGAATTATTGGGAAAGGAGGAAATTAAATATTTTCGTACTGCACGAAACAATTTTTCGCAACGAGAAATTTGATCGATTAAAAAATAACCAGAGCCATAAAAGGGCACTTTTTATGTCCAATATTTTCGAATTTATTTTGATATCTTTTATTTAGCTTACTATTCAACTTCACTGCCAATGCTATTTCAAGCATGCCGTCATCACTTGTCCTTGTCATTTATTGCACGGCAAGTATCGATTACTACGCAGAAATATAGTACAAAGGTATTATTTGGCTTGAACTCTTTTGTTAGTAATTGCAGTGGCTGTGTTAGTGATTGTGTGGCGCGTTTTTGCGGTGACAGTTGGTTTGATTGCTTTCCATATAGTGCTCGTTGCCGCTTCTGCTTGGTCTACTTCATTTACTCACTGTTCTCACAAGCCAAAGCAAACCAGAGCGCTCACTATGCACCCAAGGTGGTTGACGGACGATTTCGTCGGAAAGTTGCATTCCTGTCTTTTTTCATTTATTTATTGTTTGTGTTCTTCGATTGACATGCCGTTTAGATGTAGTCCTGCAACATACGATGCCTTCATCAAACAACAGTGCCGTAAGCAAATTGCTCTCACTTCGTGTTTACATACATATATGAAAGTACAACCTTTGATGGTTACCATTTACTTGGTACTCATATCTGCATACATATGTATGTACATATGAATAAGCGTATTGGGTGCTCCCATTTCAGTTGCGTTCCTCAAGAACGCTCAAGAAGAAAAATTGCTCTGAGAGAAAGAGAGTAACCCCAAAAAGTACAGGAATACTTTTCGGGTAAAAACTGGTGATTTTGTCAAATACATGGTAAAATTGTAATTTTTTGTTTACATAGCGGTTTTTTATCACTTGGCGATTTGCTTAATTATACACAAATATATATTCATGCAAATAAACAGAAAATACTTACAGAACTTCAAATTTCTTCGTTGCGTTAAATTTGCTTTGACAGGACAGAACAGCTGCTAGTTTGACAATTTATCAAATGTTGCAACTTCTGACAAAGAGAGAACCTAGTTTACTATCACGATTGAGAGAATATGTATTCTATCATTCTTGGTTTACTATCATATTTGTCCTCTCATTTGCCAGAGAAACGAGTACTGGAACGCTTTTTGGTAAATTCTGGCAAAAACTTGCAACTCTGGCGAGTTGGGGATCACGACTTTCTAATGAATGCTCAAACGTCTAAAATGGTACTCTCAACAAGTGAGATAAAGTGAAACCCAAATACTTAAGTAATGAAAACCTAATTGCCATCAATGAGTTTTTTGTTCTCAATGAGTTTTACTTCTTGCCGAGAAAACATATTTTTATATTTCTGAATCACCACTTACTTAGTTAAACAATAATAGAAATTGGACTAATGGACCGGAAATATACCCTAATTAGGACTTAGAGCCTTATTTCTGTGTACAATTGGAACTAAAACGAAAAAATTACAGAGTCGGCATAAAATGTGGAGGGAAAAATTCAATGAAAGATAAAAGGCACAGTTTTTGCTCAATGCGAATTGAAACATCGCTTAGATATACAGAATTTGTATGACACATTATTTTTTTAGGTCAATCAGGCCTTGCGAAATTAAAAAAAATGAA